AACATGAACTGATCAAGTGAGGCAGTGTGTAACGGGGTTTTAACCTTTTATAGTCATGTAGCCTAGACATGGCGATGCTACTTCCGGCTTGGCCTACAAAAATACGCCATTTGGTTTGAACTGGCATTAATTCTTTTTTCCGTGTGTGTGTGTGTGTGTGTGTGTGTGTGTGTGTGTGTGTGTGTGTGTGTGTGTGTGTGTGTGTGTGTGTGTGTGTGTGTGTGTGTGTGTGTGTGTGTATATATATATATATATATGTATGTTTATTTATTTATTTATTTTTAACCGTCTTTATTGACAAATTTAACATATACAAAAAACATGTATACAAACTCTTAAGAGGATGAACATACAACAGCAAAATACACAGGAAGAAGTTAATTCAAACATAAATCAAGACTAGGGGGGATTATATATAAAAATAAATAAATAAAAATCTAACTTTTCCAAAAGAAAACATCAGGCAAATGTAAGCAGACAACAAACTGGAGCAAGGACAAAAAAAAATCAACAAGGGCCAGAAATCAAAACAAGAAGAATTTCAATAAGTCAGCAGAAATGCAGCTGTTGGATAAATCTGGTGAATTATTTTAAAATGGGTTTCTTTCACTTGAGGGAAAACAGGCACCTTAATATATTTGGAATGTGCTTTAGTCAGAACAGAAAGCTCAATTAACTCTGTGAACTTAAGTCTGCAGCTCTCTGTGGTAATCATGAATAACTGTGTTTGAGCAGTCATTACTGTCTTCTTTAAACTGAACTGACCTGTAGCAAAAAAAAACCAAAAAAAAACGAGATGGACTACAAACTCCAACTGAGGAGGGCAGCATTACACTTCTCAGTGTACATCCTACCGAAATTCTATTAGGAGAAGAAGAAGAAAAAAGGCGACATATAACATCGTAGAAGAAGAAGAAGAAGACGCGGCTGCGCAGTTCAAGGTAGCACTTGTTTTGTTTACATCTCTCTCTTTTTCAAGTTGTCTACTTTCGGTAAATATGCGCTGCTTATTTCTTAAAGCGTGCTATTATTTGCATTCATTCATTTAATTGGAGGATTATGAAATAAACCTTTAACTAGCTACTTTTTCAGGGTGGTTGTAATTAGTACTAAATCAGTGAAGCTTAAATGCTAACGGAAAGAATAACTTGCTGATAGTTAAACTAAAACTTTAATTCTCAGATGTTTTAAAGCGATTTAAATATTTTTATAATTTGATTTTTTTTTTTGTACCAGTGTTTAAATTGTGTTGTTGGTGTTCAAGCCATGTGGAAACTAAGTACACTTACACAAAGCTAATTACAGTATTTGTTTTTTATTTGAATGTCTGCAATTTGTCTGCAAGTCTAATATTATTTTACTAAACATGATGAACCTTTTCTTTCTGCATTTTTAGAATTAAGATCAATACTCATGATTGATGAAAACGTAAAAGATTGACCTGAAAAAGAAAGTTTGAATGATCTCCATAAGGAATCCCTTCAGGTCATTTACAATAAGAAAGTAATAATAGAGCAGAGAGGGTTGGCAGTCTCCCTAATAAATACTTAGGCTTTGAATTCCTACTACACTTTTTGTCACAATTACACAGTTTATTTTTACGCCTTTTTTTCTTAGAGATATGATAGTGGAGTCAGAGATCAGGGACAAAGATCTTTTCAAACGCAGTCTTAAAACTCATTTATTCAGTCTGGCTTTTATAAAGTGTTTTATATCAATTCAAATCTTAATATTACTGTATTGTCTTTTTTATCCGACGACAATTTTAAATATTTTCCTCTTGTGTATTTATTTTATTATCTTGTTGCTTTTATGTGTCGTATTTTCTTTTCTTTTACTTCTTTTTTTACATATTTTTGAATTCTTATTGGTGTGCATCAGTCTCTCAATGATTTTATAAACTACTTTTTGTCAACAACTTTTCTGCACTCTTGTAAAGCGCTTTGAACTGCAATTTAATTTGTCTGAAAGGTGCTGTATAAATAAAGTTTAATTGATTGATTGACATGTCAGATTTGAACTCTGGGCGCCCACTCGGCGAACTATAGCCTCTGTAATTTTGGGGCGCGCACACAAACCACTGGGCAACCGGCACCCCGTAATTACACAGCGTTTGATTGAACTACTTTTGTCTCTGTAGGGCCGTGTGAGTCGAGTCAGGTAAAGGCTGCAAATGATGACCACACAGCCGGCCAGCCTGGAGAGCCTGCGTGTGCTTCTCCACAGTGATGACTTCATAATAGTGGACAAACACTGGGACATCCGCATTGACAGCAAGATGTGGTACGAGAAGCTCACCGTGCAGGAGCAGCTTCGGCACCGCTTTCCTGAGCTGGCAGACCCCAGCACCTACTACGGCTTCAGGTTAGAATCACAATTATAATAACTGCGTCTGCTCTCTGACACCGTACTTATAGAGAGTAATAGCCCTTTTACCACACACACAAACACACACTCACACCCCTACACACCTTCATTAAAGGTAGACGGGTTCAGTGTCTTGTTTAAAGATACTAGGAAACAGGAATCCAGGATCAAACTGTCAATCTCTCTATTAGCAGATGACCTGCTCTTATATTTATTATGTCTTCATCGTCTTTCTCTTCTTTCAACAGGTTCTGTCATCAGTTGGATTTCTCCACAAGTGGTGCTCTCTGTGTCGCCCTCAACAAGGCTGCCGCTGGTCGGGCATACCGCTGCTTTAAGGATCGCACCGCCACCAAAGCCTACCTTGCCCTGGTATGGAAGCAAAACTCAGAGTGTGCTCACAAAAGATTATTAGTACCATATTATATGCACATGTCTGGTGTCTGTATGTGACACTGCAAGGGAAAGAAAGTTGAGTTTCTCTTTCTTTTAAAGGTTCGTGGATGGGTGGAAGAAGAGACCCAAACTTTGGAATTCCCCATCGGCAAGAATTCTTCAGAGGGGAAAACACACATGATGTGTATCGAGGGAACAGAAGGTACATAAACCTGGCTCAGATTTTAGTGTGTCAGTGTGTGTATGTCTTGTATTTCTACATCCTGACAGGTAAAGCTTAATTTTGTTGAGTAATGAACTTTTTTTGTCACAGCAAAATCAGATCTAAACTGTTGTCTTTACAGGGAAAATGACATTTATCTGTGTGGATGTGGAGGGCATCATCACACACCTGAAATTAAAAAAGGATATAAATATAGACACAAAGGTTTTAAGCGTGGAAAATGATGCAGTCTTGAGTTACTTACACTCCCTGCCTTGTCAGTAAACTCATCCAGTCTGACAGAAACCCGTCACACTTTTTACATTTTAGAGATCTGCATGTGACACCTTATTATCTCACGTCAGGTTGTGAGAATCCCAAGCCTTGTCAGACTGAGCTGACCGTGTTGGAGCACGGGTTGTATGAAGGAGACGCTGTGACTAAAGTGCTACTACAGCCACTCACAGGTAATAACACCCATATCATTCTATTCACATCAGAAAAAATGCAGAATTCCTTTACTTTGTTTCGAAACACAATTTGACTGTTTTTCTTTATTTGGCCAGGATGGTCTTCTGTCGTTATTTAATTACATCAATGAAGCCCCTCTCTGTGCTTTTAGATACTGAACATACTAAGCAGAAAACTATGGAGATCCATTATCTTGACCTTTTCTCCAACAGGTCGAACTCACCAGTTACGGGTCCACTGCAGCGCAATAGGCCACCCCATTGTCGGGGACTTCACCTACAGCTTGGGGGCAGACGAAGCCCCCTACCGCATGATGCTACATGCTCACCTCCTCCAAATCCCCCTGGAACCTCAGCCCCTGCTCGTCTCTGCCGAAGACCCCTTTCTCCCCTCCGTGGATCCAAAGTGGCTGCCGCAGCGCGCGTTACGGGCACCGACGGCTACGGTGGAGGCGCTGCTGGAGCGAAGGATGGAGGAAGAGAGGAAGAGGAGAGAGGAAGAAAGAGAGAGGGTGAGAAGACAAGAGGAGAGGAGGAAAGGCGGCAGGAAACAAAGGACTAAGGAGGAGAGTGAGGAGCAGGAGAGGCAATGCCAGGAATGGCTGAGTGAATGGGCTGGAGACTGATGGACTTCTTTTTTTTTTTGTTTGAATTGTGCATATGAAATTATGAAATCAATGTCTTCTTGTGAAAGTCATCTTAAGCATGCTTCATCTCACTTATCAGAACACAACTGCACGCTGCATCGACTGGTTCACCTGCTTTTTTTGGAGGGGGTTGGAAAAAAACAACCTTAACAAATAAACCCCCCAGAACACAGCTTCAATCAGGGGCCATGCTGGAGTATTTGCAGAGCATCAAACTTGTTTTGGAATATTGATTCCATTTATATTCCAGGAGCAGCTTCTCCTCAAAAACAGAGGATCAGTGTGAGAAGGGCATGACAAACAGAGACCAGCGAGATTTGCTAGTCGGCAATTTATGCATTATCTATTTGAATAAACAAGCCATGTCAAGAAAATTGAAACTTGGCGGAAACGCATCGGACCAACTATTAACAGCTGCCTAGAACATTTGCAGTCTAAGCCATTGCTGACAGTCTAAATCAAGGTAATATGTCATATTCAACCCTTGTTGCTGCGAATCATTGACACTGAATAGATAATCGATCTTTTTATGCAACTCATACTGCAAATAAAGGATTCTACTGACATACGTGTGTGGAAGGTTTCTGATTAGATTTTCTGTTCAGTTTTTGGAAATGCTCATTACAAATCCTGTCAAAATATATTGAAAGTGCAATGCACTGCAAAAAGCAAAATCAAGGTAAGTACAAGTGTTTTTATGCCCACGGTTGTAAAATATAAAACCTTTAAAAGTAAAATTGGTGTAGAAATTAATCGCAGTAAGAAAATACATAATTAAAGCATGCATGTATTAGAAGGCAGGGTTACTGTGTCACACAATTCAACCAAAGATGACAAAACAAACCTCACGGAACAGTTCGGCTAAAAAAAAAAACTACATTACCCATAATGCCTCCCGTCGCTGTAGAAGAACGTCGATCAGCAACAAGGGGCGGGACATCATTAACAGCAGGAAGGAAGACGAGTGAGGGCAAAACAAGTGTTTTTTGTTTTTGTTTTTTTATTGACAAATTGATTCAAAGCGTTTAATAAGTTTCTCACTTTTCAAAATGAGCGACGCAGTTTTCTCTTATGAGAGTTTGGTTCACGCTCTTTCAGGAGCCGTGGTGAGTTCGCCTTACTTTCATTATTCATTCAGGTTATTAAATGTGTGATTTCAGACTGTTTCAAGGTCTGCGTTCATTTGCTGTTTAATCTTCCGTTCAAAGCTTCATTCACAATTTTGACGTTTTATGAACGATGACGCATACATTGGTAATCTCTACTTTTTCTAATTAGACTTTAGATTCGGCAACAATTAACCAACTTTCTTTGCCGAATTGGATTTTGTATCATCAGCATCCAGGGGATTCAGTGTGTTTGGTTTCTTGGTTTGTTTTGAGCTGTACCCACGTGTTTCCCGTTTAGTTGTCAGAATGGTGTATGGAGTTTGGCCTTCAGTTTATTCCATATATTACTGATTGTCTGACTGTGTCCTGTTTTAGGGAAGTGTGACTGCCATGACAGTGTTTTTCCCTCTTGATACTGCAAGACTAAGGCTTCAAGGTAAGAAACCGTTATGATGAAGCCCTTATTACAGCAATAAAAGGGATTTGATAAGGTGTTTACAATACAAACCAATGTAATGTATTCTGTTTACTGTGTTTTGTTTATGTTCAGTGGATGAAAACAGGAAGGCCAAATCAAGTCACGCCATTCTGGCAGAAATTGTCAAAGAAGAAGGACTGTGAGTAAAAGATGAGAGCGGACTCGGTTGAGTTGCTTGCCAGCCAAAACCTTGAATCTTTTCCTAGTTTTATGTTTTCATATGTTACATACTTTTACTTGTATTTATTGATGTGCATGTCTTTGTCAGAATACCACGCATTTGGACAGTTTTTCATGTGATTTTATTCCCTGCTGAGGTTGATTGTATTTTAGGACCTTACTGTTTCACTATCTTGACCTCCCATCAACATTTTGAAAATGCATTTAAACATCACAAATGCGTCAAACGGCCAGCTACACTAAAAAAAAAGGTGAAAAAAGACATGCCCACTACACTGAAAGGCCCCCTAAGATGTGTTTGTCCTCCTTCAGATTAGCCCCGTACAGAGGTTGGTTCCCTGTCATCTGCAGCCTGTGCTGCTCCAACTTTGTCTACTTCTACTGCTTCCACAGCCTGAAGGCCGTCTCGCTTAAAGGAAAACAGTCAGCGCCCAGCACTGACTTACTCATAGGGATCGCTGCAGGTACGAGAGTCCACTTCATTAATTATCTCGTTTTCTTTCATGTACCTTTTTTTTAAATTTCTAACACTACTTCTCCACTTTCAGACGTGGACACTAATCAAAGCCATTTCTTTCTGGGGGTTCTTGTCTCGCTTCTAGGTGTTATAAATGTACTCGTTACCACTCCTCTGTGGGTCGTCAACACCAGACTGAAGCTTCAGGGTTCCAAGTTTCGCAACGCAGACATACGGCCCACCAACTACTCTGGCATTCTGGGTAAAATGTTGTCATCTTGATATGCTTGTTGAAACAAACTCTAATTCTGTATTTACTCCCTACACACAGTTTGTCACCTTTATGCTCTTAACGCTCTTGAGTTAATACCACTCCTTTCTTTTAGAATAGCAGCTTATTTAGTCTTTTGTTTTGGCAGATGCTTTCGTGCAGATCATCCGTGATGAGGGTGTGGGAGCCCTGTGGAACGGGACCTTCCCATCCCTGCTGCTGGTGCTGAACCCTGGCATACAGTTCATGATTTATGAAAGCCTGAAGAGGCATCTGAGGAGAGGAGTTCCCAGGGAGGTGAGTGGGAAACCGAATAAGATGATGGAGGAATTATCAATAATATACAAGCACAGATGTGCTTCAAATTAACAAATGGAAAAGGAAAGGAGGGGAGATCCTCGAGGTCATCTGATCGTCTGGATGAGTAGACACTAGCTATGCAGAGAGTGGCTAATTCTGATCACATGATTTCAGAGTTTAACCACAAGAGAGAGAGTTTACCACATGTTTGCACAATTTCACACCACATGCATTTCGAAAAACTTGAAAAAGCAATTTTGGAAATTCATTACTTCCAGTTTGCAAGTTTATATGTTTAGTATATAGTTACCCAGTGGTGTAGTGGTGAAGAAGTGGGTATATTTTTCCCTACAATGTTTTTTTAAGTGTCCCGTCCAGCAGAGGATAAATAGCCTCTGTTGTAAAAATTGACAAGTTAGACTACTCTTGCATAATTAGTGTGTACTAGCCAATCACATACAGAGAAGGGAGAAAAAATCCTAGAAAAAATTGCAGCATACTACTGTACTGTTAATCAAACATTGGTGTAAATCAGAGGATCAGAGGTTTTCTCTATCAGGACAAGAATATTGTTGCAGACCGCGTTGGAGTAAACTGTTACATCGAGGAAAACAAATCACATGTCTTTCAGATGTGTGGCATTGTTTCAGTTTCGCTTCTGCTCAGATATTTTCAGGCATAGAAAATGAAACTTACAATCTATTACACACTGGGAACTTTCATGTGGTATGTTATAAATAATTCCATCTCCCATATGATGACACTTTTTTCCCTAAAACTGCTCCTCCACACATATTTACTTTTTATTCTAAGCTAATTGTTTGGTTGCCACTGGTTCTATGTTATGGATTAACAATAATGTTTCCCTCTGTTCCTCCTCAAGCTGTCATCCATAGAGGTCTTCATCATCGGGGCAATTGCCAAAGCTATTGCTACCACGGTTACGTACCCACTGCAGACTATACAGTCCATTCTTAGGGTAGGTGTTGTGTCTGCGCCTGGTGGCTTTTTGTTTACTCGTGCACTTGTTGTTTACTGAAATTGCCATAATCCTACAGTTTGGTCAGTTCAACGAGTCAACAGACAACTCCAGACTACTGACCAGTCTGAGGACTATCAAGTGTCTGTTGGTCAAACAGAGTGAGGTGGGCACACACACTTTTTACATAGCTAATTAAAACTTGACATCCTTACATGTGGTTTTTGCATGATTATACAGATCTTTCTTTGTGATTTAAATCCTGATTTGCTCCAACAGGAAGTCTGGTATGTTGGGTCTGTTTAAAGGCCTGGAAGCCAAGCTGCTGCAGACGGTGCTGACTGCGGCTCTCATGTTCCTTCTCTA